ACCACACACACACACACACCACACACACACACACACACACCACACCACATACACACACACACCACACACACACCACACACACACACCACACACACACCACACACACACACACACACACACCACATACACACTAATCGCAACCCATGCCAATCTTTCCTCTTTTATGTCCTTTCAATTCTTATGTTTTCTTTATTTTGACATATATTTTGCATTTGCTACTAGGAGCCTGTGATTTCATAAATTACTCTTCTAGGTGAATGTTTTCCTTCCAACAAACTATAACTCCCTTCAGGAGCTTCTGTGATTCTTCTGCCGACTTTACACCATCTAGCAATGTAATTGGTGCACAACGGATGCCCGGTAAAGACTTTCAATTAGTCGTCTCTCCCAGAGCCACATGTCGTTGTGTTTTTCATTGCCTGGTTACTTAATTACAATGGTCTTTATGGCCCCGAGGTCATTCCCAATACCCTCTTGGTCCTGGTCAGGCTGCAACTGTCACCATATTAGCTTCCCCTTTTGCCAAAGATGTCATTGGCTTCTTCATGCCAGACAGGCAAGCTCCCTGCCTCTGCTTGAGTGGTCCTGAGAGCCCACACTTCTCTGCTGCTGCCATGGAGCAAAGAAGAAACCAGTCCACGGCAGTAAAATCATGCCTACTGTGTACTCAGGACATTCTCACGGGGTTCCTCGCCCCCCTATGTATTGTGGGAGTTTTCTTGTAACAAAGGGTATTTTGAAAAACTTTAGTTTATGTTCAGGATAGCACAGACACAGAAATGCACATGAAATATAACGTATGTAAGGTAATGAATTGAGCGAGGCCACACCCTTGTCGTGACCAGTTTAGGGAATAGAAACATGGCCCCCTGAGTGCGACTGACATACCCCTCTCCCGTTCATGGAAGTCACTCTCTTCCTTTTCTTTATAGTTTTCTCTCTCAAGGGTGCTCTACTACACATTATAATTTAGCTTGCCCATTTATTTTCATTATCTTGTAATAATTTTAAGAATTCAAGACCAATTGCTTTCCAAGTATTAATTCTATGTGAATGCTTCAGTAAGCTCTGTGTCTCACCATTAACTCACTATGCTCAATCTGTATCCTGTTATCCATACAGAACATACATCCGTAGGCACACCTGTATTCTCTCTACCCCCACCTCTCTCTTGCCACCTCTATATCTAACTATATACCACTTACACACGAATTTCATTGCTACTTAATTGTCATCTTGATTTTGAGCCATTAATCATGGCAAGATCTCTGTGATTTTTCAATTTTGGAATAAACTAACAACTATGAGGCCAAAGTAAAGGAAAATATTAATATAAAATACACTTGGATATGTTAATACTTATGGGTACTAATGGGACAGAGGAAGGAAAAAACCCTTTCATTAAAGGGTTGTTATAAAATCTATAAAGATCATTTTCAGAAAAATTACTTTTCATGCCAGGAAGTACTCCTAGAGATGGTATTAAGTACAATTCAGACAGTGATTTCCTTCACAAGAGTTTGAATGATTTGCAAACATTATCTCCTTGTTCTTCTAGCTGTTTAAGAGTGTCGAATCATGGGTAAGTCATGATGATCTTATCCTGAGTCAAGCAAAAAAAGCAGAAAGGAAGGGCAGCAATGACGAAGGAGCATTTGAAATAAGTGTGCAACCTAGCTCAGAGTCCTGGGAGTCGTGTAAGCTCTCACTGCCTCCGACACGGGACAGCTGGTAGGCCAACGCTAAATGCAAATGTGAAAAAGCCAGACCAAAGTCTCGCAAGCTGACAAAGTCCATCTTTCTGAGTCTGAAGTCAGAAAAGACAAAAGGCAAGGAAATCAGCCAAGAAACTCAGCAGAGGGTTTTATTGGGAGTTGTGATTGAAAGGATGTCCCCTGGCGAGAGCAGCGGAGTGCTGAGGGACTTTCAACATTACTGAGCCAGAATTATACAGACCGTGTCAGGTATGGAGATATTTCTAAACAGACCTGTTAAGTTTGCATTTGTATTTTGTAGTCTCAGATCCAGTGGCGGGATGCAATTCGTGATGAAGTCAGTGTAACAAGAACAGAGTTAAGACCCATTTGGCAAAGCCTGATGTCTGCTCTACGAGGCCCTCACTCGCGTTTGTCCACTTCCACATTCATATGAAGAGCTTGAATGACTACACATGTAAACTCGGATATCCATCCTTCAGGTAAATGAGCATCGGTGTGAAGTGTGAATCTGAAGGGCAATCTCTCTGCTGCTAACGGTAAGCAGGTGCTACTATCTAACACCTGTAAAAGGCCAGTAGCATCCTGTATTGTTGGAGCACAGTGAATGTGATGCTTTAACTTCATTCTAATACTAAGTCTCTGAGTCTCATTCTGTTATTCAGTTATGATCAGAATACAGGATCCCCTCTTCTTTGAATTAAAAAGTGCTGTAGCAAGTACAGTGGAGTGCCACCCACTACAATGGACCGTGGAGTTGACTTCAGTCCTATCTAAATGGGTTTGAAGTGCCAATAAGACCTATTCAGGCTCAAATGTACAATATACAAGAAATGAGATCAATAAAAAAATCTGCAAATACGCATCTGTCCCTATTGCTTATAATGGGGATTATGAAGAAGAAGAATAATGACCCATGGTGAATAAATATGAATATATTCTACAATATAGAATACATAAAGACTCCTGAAGTCATTTCTGCTTATGATAAAGGTTCTCTTTTCCACTTGGAAAAAAAAAAAAGAAAGAAAAGAAAAAAGGGTCTGATAGTTCAGCTTACTTGGCATTCATGCGATGATTTGTTTAGTTGTTGGTTTGTTGGTGGCTTTCACTTGTGCTATAAGTGATATTTAATCCATTAGGTCACCTCAACGCAATGAAAAAGTAACTGTTTTAGGACTTAGAGCTCACAGAGATATCTACATTGCAATTTCTTAATGTACATGGCATGGTGTGTTATTTTTGAAAACGGATAGGTAAAAAGTTCATGTATATTTTGCACGTATGTTTGTGGACAGAGAGAAAATAGAAATCTCCAGAGTCTAGATTCACATTCTGAGGAATTTACTTAGATTTTCTTATTATAACTGTGATTTCACACCAGTTTTTAGAAGCATATTGTCACATGTAGATCTGAATTTACTTTTACAAAGAGCTGAAGAATGCTCTGAGAAATTTATGGCAGGTCTGAGACTAGTTAAGCTTCTCAGAGTCACACATGTCATGTTGTCTTTATCAGATCATTGACTCTATGAAAAAGAAACATGCTCCCTCGTCTCAGTACTTCTCTCTCTGGTTTGTATTAGTGTGGAACTGAATGGAATTAAATAAGTGTGAAGAGTTTCTATACCTAGACTACATAACTGGGTCTGCAAAACGGCTCCTCGAAACCATACAGAATCCAAACCATCCACTAAAACGTGGGGACCAACCTTACAGGATGGTTGAGAGGAATCTCTGAGGCCATATAAAGTGCTCTCTCGAGGCTTCAACACAGGGATCTGGTCACCTGCTCAGTCTGCCATCCCCACCCACCCCCTCTCCCAGTAAATCAACAGACCTCTGTGACACTGCTTAGAAAGGTCCTTCAAATGTATCCTCTTCTGTTCTGCTCCATAAAAACTTTTCTAATTAGCCATCACTTGTCATCTGAAATATGGAAACCGGCCCCGCCTGGCCTTCTACTTCAGGCTTGCTTCATTCCAATAGAGTCTCCCTTCCTCAGCCAGCCCTGACTTCTCAAAACCAAAGTGAACATAATCGTCTCCTGTTTAAAACTCTTTGGTGCTACCCCAAAGTCCCAAGATAAAAGCAACTTCCTTCATATGGCTTACAAGGTCACCCATGACCTGAGGAGCTGAAATCTACAGTTGGGACCCACGTGCGAATTGTCCATGAACACTGTTCATTAATATGCTAAAGAACCTGTTACTTATTAACTCTGACGGATACCTTGTTAAGCACCTTACATGTATCTTTTCATATAATTCTTCTAGTGCCCCATATGATGGGTACCTTCCACCTGGTGGAGTCTCCCAGATGAAAAGCCTTGCCCCACAGAGGAAAAATGAAAACAACAACAACCAGGACTTTTAACCCCAGTCTGTCAAAAGTTCAAAGTCTCATCCATTGCGGTACACTCCTTCCTAAGGTCCTGCCTGCCTCCTGTTGTGAAAGATATTCTGCTTTATGAGTGTGGTCAATTCATTTCTAAATTCTGTACCATCTCTGACGTCAAGGACACTGTGTCTGAGCCAGGATTTGAGCACAGAAGCCTCCTATCTGCTGTGTGGCTCTGAGGAGATGCCAGTGTGGCCTCTGATCCCAGGCTGCCAGTGGGGCCCGGGCAGGAGCCCCGCGGAGGTGCCCCAACCCCTGCCCCTCTGGCCCTTGCCAGTGGGATCGGTCCTTAAGTACCTCACCATTAAAGACAGCTCCCCAGTATTTCAACTGTAATTATCGTAATGATAATAAAGCCGGTCACCATATGCCACACATCAGGATCATAGTAACACAAGTATCAGTGTTTTCCAAACTTCAGCATTTCCCACAAGACCTCAATAAGGAGGTGAACTTTCTCTTCATACCCCTGTATCAGGGCATGATAGATTCACCTTTTCATTGAAATGTAGGAATTACAAGGGAAGTCTTTCTCTTTTCTTTTCTTTTTTCCTTTCTTTTCTTTTCTTTCTTTTTTCTTTTCTTTTCTTTTCTTTTCTCTTTTCTTCTTCTTCTTCTTCTTCTTCTTCTTCTTCTTCTTCTTCTTCTTTCTTCTTCTTCAATATGAAATGCTTCATGTATTTGAGTGTCATCCTTGTGCAGGGGCCAATTTCCTCTGTATCGTTACGGTTCTAGTATACGTGCTGCCGAAGCGAGCACTAAAAAGGAAATCTTTAATGAGGAAATCAGTATCATTTGTCCTAAGTGCAAGTGGAAGAAATGCAGGCACAGTCGAACAGATGCCGGAAATTTCTAAAAAGTTCGTCCGTGCGCCACCTACAGTCACTGGTTCTACCAAAACGTTGTAGATACGGGACCTGTTCTGAGGAAATCTAGATAACCTGATTGCTGGTTTTTACAATCCTGCAAGATTCGACCCATTGTCTCCATTTTACAGATCATAGATTAAGAGAATCCAAGTAATTTGCCAAGAATGCTGTGCAATTTTTCTGATTCCAGCTTGTTCCATCTTCCCACAGCCAATCCAGCTGCAGGTCATTTGGATTCATCTCATGCAATCCTTTCCACTGTAAGCACACACTTTTGTGCTGTTATTCCTTCTTACCCTGATGGTCATGGCAAGCAATGGAGAAAACCATCAACCAGAATTTAAACCCCTATACATCTCAAACAAATTTCTCCTTTAAAAAGGGGAACTCTATCTTTCAGACTGTCAAACTTAAAAACACTGTTTAAAATTATGTGTCCTCGTCCCTATTGCTCACACATACTCCAGAATCTTGGGTTACAAAAATCCAAAGGAAGATGGAACCAATGCGTGTCTGTGTGTCCACAAGAAAGTACTCTAAACAGCCCATTTCCACTGAGGATGATAAAACGACCCGGCACTTGCACTGTGAGCCTCTTCAGCTGTCCACCTCACTCACAGACCCTGACCCACAGAAGGAAGGGCAGCAGAAACAGCAACCCATGGGCAGCCCATGCGAATACCACTTGTCATGGTGGATGTTGAGCTTCATGCCACAGGGCAGTAACACGCCGCATTGTGACATTTTAATTAGAATGTGTAAGACTTCACATCTATTACCTGCAAATCTGGAGGCTGCGGTGGGGGCGGGGGAGGACGGATAGTGGTAAGGAAGTTATTGAAGGTACTATAAGAAAATGAGAGAGGAGCAGGGGCGCCTGGGGGGCTCGGTCAGTTAAGCACCTGACTCTTGATTTCAGCTCAGGTCATGATCTCAGGGTCGTGAGATGGAGCTCCACGATCAGCGAGCAGTCTGCTTGAGATTGTCTCCTTCTCCCTCTGCCCCTTCTCCATTCTCTCTCTCTCTCATAAATAAATACATCTTAAAAACAAAAGGAAACTGGGGAAGGGTGGGAAAGACAAGTGGGAGAGAGAAGCTGAGAGGGGAGGAGGGGTTTCACTACTCAGGCTGTCTGTTGCTGACCCAACGCACCTGACTATCTCTGACTTTCAGGAAAGGTAACAAAGAGCTGAGGTGCATCTCTGTGAAACAGGCCACCCTCGGGCTCTACCTGGCGCTAAGACCAGGACCCCTCGTCAGGGGCTTTCGGCCTCAATTCGACTGCTTAGCTCAAACTTTTCATCATTTCATAAAAAAAGAAAAAAATCCACCTGCTTGGAGTGGTAACTTGGGAAATTATGGTTGCAACCAGTATTTAGAAAATACACTGGCAGCCTGACAAGTAAGAACACAGTGCCTGTGAGCAAAAAGCCAGGGTCCTTGAAGCACTTTTGCTTGGGAAGATGCTATGTGGGGGCTCCAAGATAGCTTTTACAATATGCAGGCATAGCAGGCTTCAGAGCAGCTTTTTAAGCAGCAAACAGAAGAAAGATGTATTTTTTTCACAACCATTGTGCTTTTTGAAAGAAAGGGGCCAGAGTGTGTCTGTTTGACCTGTTGTGACATCATGTTGTGGTGTGACAGGCTGTAACACAGTAAGTAAACAAATGATGAGCAATCCCTCAGGGGACGGTGATGTCATAGCCACCTCTGAACAAGGGGACCTCAGGACTTAGTAGGGGAGGGGGCAAGGTGGTGCCAGCATCTGGTTGGGAGAGGAAGACACCATAAGTTTGTCATTCTCTGCCCAGTGTTGTTTTGGATTTCCATTTGTATTTACTTCTAAATTCTTTATACAGCCAGGTTACTAATCTCTTGACATTTTTATACATGGTTTGATACCATATAGCAATGTTCTGTTTTTGGTTTTGTTTTATTGCATGACATCATTGACATTATTCTGAGCTTCTGTAGCCCCTCTCCCCCAGTCATTTTTAAGCTTTGAATTGCATATGGATTGTTTTTTATTCAGATCATCTCCTGAAGAAAATTTCCCATAAACATTTCTAATTCTTTGGATTTTCTATTCCTATTACCCCCACTCCTTTGATTAATGCTATCATGGATAATAATACTGAACACCTACTCTAGGCTAAGCTCTGTATTGATACTTTCTATACCCGATTTGTTACTATGAGGACCCTGTAAAGTGAATATTATTATATTATTTTATAGGTTTGAAAACAAAGAGTAAGAGAAGATAAATAACTTGCTTCATGCCACACAGTTAGTAAGTGGAGGAGCTAGAATCCTAAAAGAAATCCTGGAGTGGAAGGGAAAAATACTCAAAGCAAAGGGATTCCCAGGCACTCACTGAAAGTGGTGCAGGGAGCCTCGAACCGGCCACTATCAGTTAAATAGTGAGGAGAAATCTGAATCTCTGGGATGTAGTAAGTTCACAATACATGTGTCTGTGGGCAGACGTTGAATATGGTTTTCAGAAACTGACTATGACCAGATGTTCTGCCCTCAACTGTGGTCCTCCAGCTGAGAGCTTCCATCCTGACCTTGATCTTGGAATGATCTGCTTTGAGGAGATGCTGCATCTCAGAGAATGGCTATTTAAAATGGAAACAATTATTTTCTGAGGGAGAAAGGATACAACATAATGTAGCTGTAAGTGGTCTGTGAGGTTAAACTTCTCCTGGGATCCAATCTTCGCATATTTAACATCAACTTATCTGCTATCTCCATATGACCCCTGCCTTGGCATGAACCATGGAGTTTAGTGAATATCTGTAAGTGTTTTAAAGAATTGTATAACTGGAATAATTCCTAGGGTAGCTAAAAACGGTCTAAGATTGTTCAACTCTAAGACAATCCATAGACCTCTGATCCTATGTAAAACTAAAGTATGATGTCAAAGATGAACAGTCCCAGAGAGGATACCCAACCAAAGCCATCTCCAGTGTCGCCCTGGAGGATGACAGACAAAGGCAGTTTTCCCAGAGAACAAAATCAGAGCAGCCAGACTAATGATGAAGAACCTGTACAACCAGCCGTGGAATCCTCATCACTCCTCCTGGCAGGATGTGAAATGTGCTGCGGGACGCTGACCACTGAGCATTGTTTTCCATTCTCCAAAGAGAGGTGGTCCCCATCTCTCCCACCCTAATGAGTCTGGTTCTCTGTCTTTGTATGTACTGGGTGTTTAACTGTTTAATTTGTCATTTAGCTATAGACCACCACACCACAAGGGAGCAGAGAAAAACTGACCAGAGAACTGCATGTCGGCCAGAGACCCTTAATCTTGACTAGAACTGAGAGAATGGACATTTTTGTAGATGTGCGCTCATGGGAAGAAGCAGTTGCAAAAGGTGGGGGGCTGTAATCGGTGGCTGTTACTTTTGCTTCCCAGCATCAATCCATTCCCCTTCAAATAACCATGTCCCAAAGCCTGGAGGAAATGTCCCCTCTCCATGTCCAATCAATGGAAATGTAAAGTTACAAAGACAGAGGATTTGGTCTCCACTGTCTTAAGTGACTCACTTCAGTTTCCCAACGAAGCAGAGTTCAGACAGAAACAATTGACCCAAATCAAGCCGATCTGGGCCAGTGAGACTCAATTCCAGAATGTTATTTGTATTTCATGGAATGTGAAGTCTTGCTTTCTCCAGAGCACACGAAGTTTGGACATACCAAAACGGCTACAGCTGCCTTACCAGGAGAGAGCTACAAGCAGGTTAGAATTGGAGGGAACAGAGCTGAGATCTGAAGGCAGCCTTGCTCTGTTAACACTGTTTGAGCGTGGGGTCAGCTCTCACCCCAGCACTCTAAACCCAATTGCGTTGGATTTCCTATTGACAGCCACAGAAATCATCTCATCCAACTGATGGCAGTATTCTTGGCAAAATGAGAGATGTATGGTCTATAAAACACTTTGGTACTTTTCATGATGCTTGACTTATAGTATAGGAAACTGATTAATGCTTCTAGAATAAGAATTTGAAAGAACTAGGCCAGATTACATTACACAAGAATAGGAAGAAGGGAATATTATTTTATTTTTAATATTTGTAGGACATAAAGTCAAACAAATCTGGCCTGGATTCTTTTGGGAGCTTTTATTTATTTTCTTTAAGTTCAAAGTGTATCTTTAGATGTGAATCTGGTATTTGTACTATTGTGAGTATTTCCAACCTCTTGGGGGGTTGAGAGAATTTAAACATATATGAGTATGTGTAAGCAAACACACACACACACACACACACACGCACACAAAAGCTTGCCAAGAAGTATAATTTTTGTATTTGAAAGTGGCATCTTAAGAATTTTTCTCAGTGAGAACGTGCCTTTAGAAGTTCTCCTCTTGGCGGGGCATCTGGGTGGCTCAGTCATTAAGTGTCTGCCTTCGGCTCAGTTCATGATCCCAGGGTCCTGGGATCAAGCCCTGCATCGGGCTCCCTGCTCAGCGGGAAGCCTGCTTCTCCCTCTCCCACTCCCCCTGCTTGTGTTCCCTCTCTCACTGTCTCTCTCTCTGTCAAATAAATAAATAAAATCTTAAAAAAAAAAGAAAGAAATTCTCCTCTTGGGGCACCTGGGTGGCTCAGTTGGTTAAGAGGCCAACTCTTGGTTTTGGCTCAGGTCATGATCTCATGGGAAAAAAATCTTGGGGAAAAGAAGAAAAAAAGTTCTTTTCTTACAGAGACTGACCAAAATCAAATTGCATATTGATAACACCTGCAAAATTCAACTGATGGCAGCATTAAATCAATCTAACATCTTTTTGACATAGCTTAGGTTCACCAGATTTTACCACTGTCTCCTAAATTGAACTATGATAATTTGCCTAAAAACATAAATAAAATGTTGCAATAATATTATTAGAAT